TTGTCATATCTACTCAATTTTATGAGTTTTCAGAATTTAAAACTTGTTTTCTTTGTTACTAATTAGAATCAAAGAGGTCAAAATTTGCAAAGATCTTATTATTGCGGAAGGTATAGGTTTTGCATCAGTTTTATTTTACTTCAAATTTCAAGGCACCATCTGAGCTGTAACAAAATCTGGACTAGGGAACTTTCCCAACTAAATTTTTTTTACATTTAAATAAACGTAGAGTATCACTTAACCAAATAAAAAAAACACACACACATAGAAACATTGAGACTTTCAACAATAATACTGGATGTGAGAATACCGGGTTAATGTAACTTTGTTCAGTTTCGTTCAGTTCACACAGTGCTTGTTCACACAGTGCTTTGGAACTATATAAAAGTAAATGTATTATTTATTAATGTTCTTATTATGCCCAAATTTGAATACTTGATTGAATACTTGCAAAACTTTGGTTGAATTGCCAGATACGCTCAAATTTCATCTGGTGCTCTGTCTTCAGGCTATGTTTAGGTATTATCGATTAAGAAAATATTACCATACCTTTTGTCGTCATAACAGGAAAACCTAGGCAGAGTCGTCAAATGTTTACGCAATGCATTATCATGGGATAGTATTTGTTCACGCTTTCTCCAGCGCCGCATTCCAAATTGATGTAAGCGAGACTCTGAAGAATGGCCGCTACCAAACCACACGAACTAAAGGTGCTGCTTCGCACGTAGATTCTCGTTCATGGTTTCGACAATGGAGATATCTTTTTTTATTATTATTGTAATGCAGCAAAGTCAATATAGTAGAACTTATGAAAAGTTCGAGACATGTCTTTTTACTCTATGTGTTTCACGACCGCACTTTTATATGAACTTAAAAACCATACCCCCCCCCCCCCCCCCCCCATGTCATAATGGTACGTCCCTCACCCCTCCAGAAACTTTTTCACAGCGCTCCCTGAACTAGTGAACTAGTGACTCGGACTAGAAGACCGCGAAAAGGCTCTTTTGAACAACTCGTTTTAAAGAACCGGTTCCAAACAATTCAGCAAACCTAAAACCTTTGAATAATTGTAATTCAGTTTTGTTTGTAGCAACAACGACAAAGTAACTTCTCCACATCATTCAAATCTTTACGATCTTACGAATCGGAAATGAATTAAAGAGGTTTTAAGTTCAGTAGTCACTAAGTTAGTCAGTTGAACTGTTGCCTCGTGAACGAATTTGTTCAGACCAGTTTAGTGAGCCGGATCAAAAGATTTGTTCACGAATTGGACATGGTTAGACTGAATATATGCTGGGCAGTGTATACTGTTAGATCCTGTTATAATAATGGCTTAAATCGTTTGCGAACGACACGTAGTAGGCACTGTATAGGATAGGAAATGAGGGCTATTGTTATTTGTAAAATGAGCAGTTGAGCTGCACGCGGTCGAATCTTTTGAAAAGCAAAGAAGGTAAAATGTAATGTACCATTATAGGACTGCAGGGTGCTGGTGCCTTTTATTAACATATGAATGGTTTCACCTTGAAAAGGAGACTGTCTCACAGTAAATGCTCATGCGCCAGTCACGGAAAAGAGAGAAGGGTTTACTAGTTGATCTGATTTGAAAGTTGATAACTTTCCACAGCAGAATAACTTCCTTAACTCAATATCTCTATGAGTTAACGAGTAAAGATCCGAATACCGAAAGTGGCATTAGGATTATTATTATTATTATTTGGTTACTCTTAACCCGTATACAAGGTGGTTGTTGTTCCATGTTTCGCACGTTTCATACTTGTTGGGTTTAGAGACTTTTTTTCGTTAGCGTTCTTATTTGTAGTAGCTGTAGGGTCAATAACAGCAATATAGTGCCCATCTGTGGACATGTCTCCAGTCCACGTGGATCGTTCATTTGTCTTGCGTCTTCTGAAACAAACATGAAAAAAATCCTGTTTCCGTCACACATGAATAGATATAAAGCCCGTGAAAGTTTCGGTCTGCGACAGTAAAACCGTCATGAATATTTAACGAGGTAGCAGGTAGGTCTATTGATGTACGGTTGGCAGTTCCTCAACAACTCGCTGTGATTAGCTCAGGGTTAAACATACCTTTATCTGTTGTTTAAAACAACGTAACCTGGATTGCCAGTTAAGTGATACTAATACCACGTAATAATGCAGTCGTATGATAATAGGATCATCAATAAAGATCTATTATGATGATAGATAACTGATAAACATGCCGTTAGTAACTTGGAAAAACACACAATGTGCTGCAGAAAACCTACCACTAGATGTCAGCAGTGAGATGTGAGCTTTAAGCTTCAGGGTTTTTTTTATTCCAAAAACAAAAAAATAAATATAAAAGATAAACATTTAAAAAATCACCACCATGATGTCTTTTTTTTTTTTTTTTTTTACATATATAAGTATAAACAAAAGGTCTACTGTAATTTTGTTTTACTACATTTACTAATAATATTGTTAGTACGCATATTGCACTGAGAACGTTTAAAATTACTTTGGGACTTTTTGAGGTCCCCAATGGTGTAAAATTTCAGTGTAAATCAGATGGGTTGTGTGGTTTCCTCTAAGAGGTAAAAAGAAACATTTACTTTGCAGGTAATCTAACTTGTTCATTATCTATGACTCAAGTCAATACATGCAGTAAACACTTACCGTGACCGCACAAGCAAAACATGTGAAGATGACATCAGGGGCCGTTTGCATAAACATAGCCATTGTGTCTTAAGAACTAGTGTATGACTAACTTGTAAGACTAGTTTATGCAACCGGCCCCAGTAAAGTATATTTTAAACTCATATGCTCCCTAATAGGATACACAATTAGTCTGACAACCACAGTACCTATATAGCCTAGCGCTTTTATATTTGCTCTACAGACGTTAAATTATGAATTTTAAAAATTGTTTTCTTTTTTTGTCTCCTAGTCTAGACAAAGGTGGTGACATCACTTAAACCTTGTGAAAACTTGTGAAAATGTGTTTCAAGAAGATAAATAAAAGTCAATTTTAAATCCTTTGCTGTTAATACACAGTTTTGTGGACAACATTAATGCCTTTGTCTAGACATAAGCCACAAAGCATCATGTTACTGAACTTGAGCATAAGCCACAAAGCATCATGTTACTGAACTTGAGCTTTACAACCTCACAAATTGTTTCCTTTTCTACGATCGTATCTAGGTGACTTTTAGTGTTTTTTTATTTTATTTTTTTGTCAGTTCTTCACATATTATACAAAGATGAAGTATACAAACACGAAATGTTGTAAAGTTGAGACATTTAAAGTAATGTATGGAATTAAGTGATACTGGTTGCATAAAATTACATATACAATATAAATACAAAATATATAAAAATATGAATATTCAATTTATTACATTAAAAAATATATATTTCAATAACAGGAAACATTGAGCCTACGTTTTGTTAAAAAAAAAAAGTTCCTATATCATATTGTATGCCAGGCAACCTTTCAGTTTTACTCACACTAACACATTATCTTTGTTGGGTCTTTAGATTTGTGGATTGTGAAACTAACTGTGTAAAAGAGGATTTACAATCAAACCGAGAGTAGGTTATCATATAGCAAACTGCAACGAAGGGGAAAGAGGTTCATGAGAATGTTTGTGAAATAACATTCTCACCGGGGTTCTGATGTCAACCTAAACTGCGGTCGGTAAGGGCAGTTGTAAAAATGAAGCATAGGTCATAACCTATTTTTAGTATAAGAACATTTTCTTAGAAAAAAAGGCATGTGTCATTAGGCATTTATGTGCCTGGGAAAGGTGGCAGCTGTTTATGTTAACTGACACATAAAAGTAAGTAAAGTCAATGAAACATGTCAGATAATTAGTTGAACTGACGCTGGGCAACACGTTTACTTGAAAATGTGTTTGTGCCAATGGATTATTTGTTTTGAAAAATTAAGCAAAGAATTACAGACCTAAAATTATATCAATGAACCAGTGCATGATTTTATTTTATGTACATATATAGTATATATTACATTATTTTATTATACGATTTTTTATGCTGATGGAATGTACAGCTTCAGTGGTAATGGGCGCATTTCAGTAACCTCAAAACTGATGATTTATTACAAAACCAGGTGGCATACATAAAAAAACAATGAACCATTGAACTTTCAGAGATGTCCCACTCGATTACTGAAATGAATCACTAAGGCTGGCACTTTTTCAGATATATATATATATATATATATATATATAACGTAACTGGTATAGCTTTTCTTTGACTGTTTGACACTAGGTTTTTTTTATGCCAGTGTTTTTTCATACTTTTTTTTTTACACATTCTTGTCGGGTTCAAAACATAACCTTTTTTTAAAAGATGAAAGTTGTGATCGAGCGTTATACATGCGAAAACCATTTTGTGGAAAAACTTGCTGGGTGATTCATTTCGAAGAAGAACTGCAATACCATGCCACCAAGTATGAGCCATTGAACTTTCACAACATCCACTCATTTTCTCATGAGAAAATTTCTCCAAAATAATGAAACCTGTGTGCTATCGACTATTTGCCATCCTCATTTGTTCATTTGAAGTAGGACGCTACATCATAAAAGGCTCATAAGAACGGTAGGCAATGGATGATGAAATGTTTCTAAAAATGAATTTCCTCATATTTGGATTTAGGAGTTTACATGTACAATGTTTCAAGTGTTTTGTTTATGCTACAATATTCGGTAACACTTTATTACAGTGTCCTTGTTACATGTAGTTACTGTAGTAATTCCTATAAATTATGCAAAATTACATGCAACTAACCCTAAACCAATCCTAACTCTAATCCTATAGTAAGTAGTTATTATTACTTAAATGCATGTGTAACACAGACACCTTAAAATAAAAGTGTAGCCCAATATTCTTAAGAAAATCGAACGAGACTTTTGAGTACTATAAGTTTATTACTTAGCATACATACACAAGTATATATATATATATATATATATATATATATAAACATTTATTTTAAAGTTGTATCTAGGAAAAGCATAATAAATTCTGAATATTCACAATTTCTAAATGGCTATGTAATGTCCACGTGGAATAATAATGCTTTCTAGATGATTACTGTCAAAAATATGTCCATACATGCTTGCTTGTGATTTACCTTAATTTATCTTGTACATTAAGTAATATGTTCACTAATGCATAATTTATTTTTATGAAGTAACATTGCTCAAAAGTTTGATTACTTAGCAAACATACACAAGTAAATATAAAAATGAAGTTGTGTCTAATAGTATAAACATAATGAATTCTGAATATGCACAATTGAAACTAATTTGTTATATATGTAGATTAGTGATGCTTTTTTAGATTACTGTCAAAATATGTACTTACATGCTTGCAATGTGTGCAATTTATTTTAATGTATCTTGTGCACTAAGTAATATGTTCACCAATATATAATCTATGTTAATTTAGGAAATCAAAAATAGAATGTATAGAACATTGCTCACAAATGAAATAAAATTAATGCAGAAATATGCCGTATTCATCTAAAATGCTCAGTATGATCAATTTATAGTATAGCAAATGCTTTAAACAAAAGATTTTAAGTATATATCGGCTTCACCTGATAGTATCACTGATAAAGAAAGAGTGCGTTCTGAAAACAGTAGATTTCACTCCTTCTGAGTAAGTGAGAAAAGCCGCCCGCGGGTTGAAGCATTTCCAGAGTAAGTCTCAGAAGTGGCATTAGAGAAAGTATTAGAGGAGCTCTGGAGCACGTCTCCTTGACCCAGGCAGCTCAGACACAGGGCCGAGGCTCTGCGCCTGAAATGCTGATCCAGAAAAAAGTAGATGGCTGGATTTACACAACTGTTGAGAAATGCCAGGCAGCAGGACAGCGTGAGTCCATTAAGTATGATCGACCTTGTGTCCCTGCTAAGATCTCCCGTTCTCATCAGTAAGATGACTTGGATGGTCTTGAACAAATTGAAAGGAAGCCAGGAAATCAGAAAAGCAGCAATTATGGCCAACACAATCTTGAGGGTATGGCGTTGTCTGGCTTCTGCACGTGAGTTTGCGGCAGTGTGACAGTGCCGCCGCAGGTTAACCAAAATCGACCCATAACAGAGGACTAGAATCAGTACAGGGAGCAGGAAGGTTAGAAATATGGTCAGGAGATTCATTCCTTGGACGAAAAAGGATTTTGAATCCTCCGAACACAAAGTATCGTCTATCAACCGACGGTACACCAACGATGGAATTCCAAGGAAGAAAGAAATGATCCACACCATGCCACAGGTGATCTGCACACAGTTGCTGCTCCGTAGGAACTGAGAGTCCATGAGGCGCACGATAGCCAAGTACCGGTCCACGCTCATGCAGGTGAGGAAGAAGATGTTGGAAAAGCGGTTGACCGCAATGATGAAGCTGCTGATCTTGCATAGGACCTCACCAAAGGGCCAGTCACCATTAAGTGCCGAAACCGCCCAAATTGGCAACGTGAGAACAAACACAAGGTCGGCTAATGCCAAGTTCAGCACGAAGGTGTCCACAAGACGTCCGTATTTCTGTCGCCGTTTGCCAATTACCAAAATGACAAAAAGGTTCCCCAAGAAGCCAGCGAAGAACATGATGAAGTAGAGCACAGGAATGTAGACATTGGACATGGGCAGCGAATCGTTCTCGAATGGACTGTAGAAGACGTAATCATCTGTGGAGTTCACTGAATCAAGGTAATCGTAATTGCTTGTGGAGCTCATTGCAACATCAGAGAGTGTCATCTCTTTACTGCTTGCCATCTGTGCACAAGTGATGGGCAAAGCTGAGAAAACAGCACGTCACATGCTTAGAAACCACAAACTGCAATAACAGGCTCCCTATCTCTCTCTCTCTCTTCTCTATTTCCTTAAAACGTTTAAATTTATCACAAAGAGGTGCATTATCTCAAACGTACAGTCCTGAAATGTGAATCATTGGTAAATTTTTATCTCCATCATGTCAACGTCAAAAATAGTCAGAGGGACTTGATTTACTGCTAATTGGTGTAGTATCAGTGTAGTTGCTTTTTGAAAAGCTGTTTTTCTCAATAACTCGCATGAGAATCTTAAAACGAATGTATATATAACGTTTAAGCAGTTTTCTCGCGCACAATTACTTCCTCTAAGCAAGACTAAAATAAAAAGCACAATGCAAGCGTTAAAAAAAAAGTGAGAAAAGTATGGTTGGTGAGATTTATTTTTAAAATGCATTGCAACTTATAAAAATAACTTACAAATTATTAATAAGAGTGAGAAAGGTGCAGAGTATTCTAAGCTGTTGCGGTTTCCTGGTGTTTACAGGGGTACCACATATTTGACACCATTTTAAACGTTTGAACAGACAAGATTAAAGTTCAAAGTCACAAGTAAAGTAGGAATAATTAAAATGGCATTGCAAAGGTGTGGTCACATTATCAAAATGTCATTAACTTTCACATGTAAATAGAGGTTGATTGTACATTGTCAATATTGTAGTGATGTATGCAGCTCACACAGAAGTAACTTTTAAACCAGCAGATTTCTGTTGGTCAATGCATCGAATCCACGTGTTCTGCATGGATTTGTATGAATTTGCTGAGCAACCATCATGTGACCGCAACTTAATGTAAAAAAAAAAATAGCTGTCTTAAATTAAGTACAATCAACTTGGATGTTTTAAGTCATTTAAACTTGAATTACATTAAACTGACTGAAAATTAGTTAAATCTGGTATAACTTATAAAAACACTGAAAATTGCTTAACTTATTTTGATGAGTTAAAGCAATGTAAAGACATATGTTGTCATGTTTTCAGTTTGTGTTTTGATCCGTTTTTCTGTTCAGGTCATGTAGTACAATGTAATGTTGACTTTACTAACGGAAACCGATTGCCTTAAAATTTCCAAGTAAAGTAGTGTATTCATTTTTAGTTGGCACAACTTAATAACATTTGTATAGAAAACTTGTTGATCAAGTATACTCAAGTACTGTTAAATCAAAATAATTTGTTGTATTAACTTCTCATTAGAGTTCACATTACTAGGAAAATATCAGGAAACCGATTGCCTTAAAAAAAGCAAGTAAAATAAAATACTAGGAATAGTATGTGGTACTGACAAATGCTTAGTTAGTATGGTTCACTTACACAAGAGTTCTAGTAACTAAAAAATAACTGTAGAGAGTACTTGATCATTTATTTTAAATAAAATGTAATTGTTACCATTGTTGTGTTTTGTATGCTAAATGTTGAAGTCTGTGTGACTCAAGTATGATAAATTACAAGATTGTCACAAATATAGAGGGATTATATAATCCCAATTAAAAGTTTCACAACGTGTTTAGGACATAAGTGTTAGCAACAAAATGATAAAAAGATTACATACATACATACTGTTACAAACCTTTTATGTCTAGAGAGGATAAGGTGTGTAACATCAAAACACTGAACGTGTACTGGAAAACATCTTTCACACACCAGTCTAATTTAGGTAAAGTGATCATTTATTACAATGAGGAACGAGATGAAAAGAATATTCCAAGATACTTATTTACATAAATGTACAACTTATATACAAATCATAACCAAGGAAAAGGTTCCCAAAAGAGAAGGGTAAAGAGAAAATAACTACCGTGCCAAATCATAGAAAGAAGCAAAGAAATTTCAGTTCAATGGCTCATACTTGGTGGCATGGTATTGCAGTTCCTCTTCGAAATGAATCACACAGCAAGTTTTGAAACAAAATGGTTCTCGCATGTATAACGTTCGAAGGCAACCTTGGATCACAACTTTCGTCTTTGAAAAAGTTTATGTTTTGAACCCGACAAGAATGTTCAATTGAATTGTCAATACAACTGAAACATTTGAGAGAACCACATAAGTTGACTTCATAAATTGATGTTGATTTTCCTAAAATATTTTTAGTCACCATTATGGCTTTGGCAGGGCACTTGGTGGAACTTCATTTACTTTATTGTAATTCTCCCATTGATGCAGCGATGCAACAAGACATCAGATAGTTGGTGTCAAAGGGAGAGTATATCTATATGCATGTAAAACATTTCTCTGTAAAATAACGGTAAAATACTGGCAGCAGAGTCGCCAGCAATTTACTGTTATTTTACAGTATCCATACTGTGAAAATATTTTAATGGTTTATTACTGTAAACATGAAATACAGTATAATTCTGTATTTTTCCAAATTTACAGTAAAATACCGCCAGCAGAGTCAACAGTAATCTAATGCAATTCTACAGTGAATTATTCATACTGTGAATTATTTAACAGCTTTTTTCTGTAAAAATTAAAGGGATACTCCACCGTTTTTTCGTATTAAACTATGTTATTCCCTTAACTAAGACGAGTTGATACATACCTCTCTCGTCTCAGTGCGTGCACTCAATCGCTCTGGCGCGCGAGACACTTTGATAGCACTTAACTTAGCCCAGTTCATTCATTAGGATCCAAGCAGAGAAGCGACCAAACACCTCCACGTTTTTCCTATTTAAATACAGTTACACGAGTAGTGTAACTCGACCAAGAATGGTGACACAAAATAAAACGTTGCACTTTTCTAAGCGTGTAAAGTGGATAACTATAATGTATGGCGGAATACCATAGCAAGTGCTTGGGAGCACTTCGACTCGGCGCATATACACTCACCTAAAGGATTATTAGGAACACCATACTAATACTGTGTTTGACCCCCTTTCGCCTTCAGAACTGCCTTAATTCTACGTGGCATTGATTTAACAAGGTGCTGAAAGCATTCTTTAGAAATGTTGGCCCATATTGATAGGATAGCATCTTGCAGTAGATGGAGATTTGTGGGATGCACATTAAGGGCACGAAGCTCCTGTTCCACCACATCCCAAAGATGCTCTATTGGGTTGAGATCTGGTGACTGTGGGGGCCATTTTAGTACAGGGAACTCATTGTCATGTTCAAGAAACCAATTTGAAATGATTCGAGCTTTGTGACATGGTGCATTATCCGGCTGGAAGTAGCCATCAGAGGATGGGTACATGGTGGCCATAAAGGGATGGACATGTTCAAAGACAATGCTCAGGTAGGCCGTGGCATTTAAACAATGCCCAATTAGCACTAAGGGGCCTAAAGTGTGCCAAGACAACATCCCCCACACCATTACACCACCACCACCAGCCTGCACAGTGGTAACAAGGCATGATGGATCCATGTTCTCATTCTGTTTACTCCAAATTCTGACTCTACCATCTGAATGTCTCAACAGAAATCGAGACTCATCAGACCAGGCAACATTTTTCCAGTCTTCAACTGTACAATTTTGGTGAGCTCTTGCAAATTGTAGCCTCTTTTTCTATTTGTAGTGGAGATGAGTGGTACCCGGTGGGGTCTTCTGCTGTTGTAGCCCATCCGCCTCAAGGTTCGTGTTGTGGCTTCACAAATGCTTTGCTGCATACCTCGGTTGTAACGAGTGGTTATTTCAGTCAAAGTTGCTCTTCTATCAGCTTGAATCAGTCGCCCCATTCTCCTCTGACCTCTAGCATCAACAAGGCATTTTCGGCCACAGGAGTGCCGCATACTGGATGTTTTTCCCTTTTCACACCACTCTTTGTAAACCCTAGAAATGGTTGTGCGTGAAAATCCGAGTAAATGAGCAGATTGTGAAATACTCAGACCGGCCCGTCTGGCACCAACAACCATGCCATGCTCAAAATTGCTTAAATCACCTTTCTTTCCCATTCTGACATTCAGTTTGGAGTTCAGGAGATTGTCTTTGACCAGGACCACACCCCTAAATCAGTGTTAATTTCGTTGACGAAAATAACGACGAAAATTATTCGTCAACGACATTTTTTCACAGAGGAAAACGAGACGATAACTAAATAAAACCTAGTTTTGAATGACAAAGACTATGACGAAAATCTATTGACATTTTCGTCAACGAATAAAAACTAGACGAAAATGTTAGATAGTGACGATTTGGGAAGCGATCCGTCAGAACTGATGTCCTGAGCGTGTGTGATAGATGCGCACATTTGTAGGCTACTGTAACGTGATCTACCCCGCGGTCATAAAACGTTAAAAAATGTGACCGTCTGGGAGAATGAGAAGAGCAGACATATAGATCTGAATAAGAGTGACGATGCAAAAAAGAGTTCTATTCGGTGCGGTTTTCTGTGCGCACACACCTAACCCGAAGCGTGCAGTCATGCACAATACACCTACAGCGCGCGACTAGGCTACTGAATTGAGCTCTCTTTCGTGTCTGAATGGACAAATACACACAACAGTCTGTCTAAATGTCCGTTTTAGAGAGTATTCATGTAAACTATGCTGGTTATGTCTTAAACTGTGAGTGTATCGGATGTGCATCAGTGCAATTGTATCCGCATGTCATTGGACATGATCCGACGTCTTAAAGTGAAAGTGGCAATAAACATAATGCGGTCCGTGTCCTTAATTTTGATCAAGCAACAAAAGAAAAAGAGAAAAGCATTCACTGTTTGTTAATAGCTTTAATAAGGATTAATTATATTGAATTCATACAAATAAATATGTCTGCTTGAAAGAATAAAGAATGATATATGCAAGTAGTTATAAGGAATGCATATATCATTCATTGTAAAGAAGACTGTGTTGTACTTTAGGAAAAGTGGTTTTATTTAATTTTAAGATATTTTTTAAGTAACAGCAGTTAAATCTGTATCTGTATTGCATGTTCAAACTTAAAAATCATTCATATTAATAGGTTAATAGATGTTTTCTCCGGGAGTAAATGGGTTTGGAAATTTTAGAGAAATTCTAAATTAACGCATTACAATTGAACTAAACCCATTATATTTTAGTCGACTAAATCTACTGTAGATTTAGTCGACTAAAATGTTATTGTATTTCGTCGACTAAAACTAGACTAAAACTAAAACAATTCAGATGACTAAAATATGACTAAAACTAAATGCCATTTTAGTCAAAAGACTAAGACTAAAACTAAATCAAAATTTGCTGACAAAATTAA